ATCAGAACAATTACCATAAAAGTATTTATAGTCAAAGAGGAAACTACATTATGGAAAGTGACTGATGCCAGGTCAGGACCAATAACATTATGGATTCTTCTTTGGATTTTATCAAGAATCTCTAGATATATAGAAGGTAACACTGGACCATATGCAACAACAATATTGGGTGAAGAATAATCTACAGACTAGAACCATGAATTGGTTTTTCATCTGTTATTTTGGAAGTTTTATGAAGATTATGAGTTACAAAGAAACAGTTAATTTTTGGGTCACATAATGAAAAAAGAAGGCTTGGGGAAATTAACATTCACAGGCATTCAAAAAATGAAGGCAAACAAAGCAGTGAGTAACCTATTTGACTAGTTTAAGCAAATATGATAATAACAAAAGAAGGACATAAAGGAGCAAGTATTATTGAGAGCAACAAAAGACAAACCTGTGGAGAACCAAAATCACTTTTGTTCTGAAGACTGGTTAGTGGGCGGTATTGTGCCAGTGGTTGGTATTTATGATTAAGCATAAAGTCAAGATCTTTAACTTCTCTGCTTATAATTTTGGAACAAAATTCTCTCACCTCTGTTTTCTCCTCTTATTTTTGCTTGTGGCAGACTTAGCTAAGCTTAATAAATATCCCTTACATTTTCCCTTTATATATTGAAATACCTCTGTGTATGGATCATTTATAACCAGCTTAGTATCAAAGTTCAGAAAATTTAATGCAGAAAAGGCTGTGCTAAGGTTAGTTATTTTTTTAAAATGATACAAAAACAACACGTTAACCTAAGAACTTAAAAGCCTTTTTCAAATCTAGACTCTCGTATGGATGTCATAGATGGCATCCAACTTGTTCAGAAATGTCTAGACAATCAGTTATATACAATCATTTTTATTGGATCAAGGATTAAAAATGGCTTTAAGTGAATGAACTCTGTTGGTTTTCAAGTGTACTCTCCTTTGCTGGATCTTGTAGACTGGTGCTACAAAATCAAAAAAATTTCCTATCCTCTTGCATAACATCTTTTATCAATCTTTTTTTATCTGTCTTTTTGTGTAGTTAAATCATTGCAGTATTATTATACACCTTCTCAATAACTTTAACATAGTTTTTCTTAATACCCCGTTGTTGTAATGAGTTGAAGACTGCTATAAATCCTACAGTCTTTTCAGTCAAACAAAATTAAGTAATATTACATTATTTTTCTTTTCAACCAGTTGATTTATTATTTGTAGATGTTCTCTTGTTGAGTAGCTACTTTAAAATTTGCCTGTTTGCATACTGATTTCCAACTTGGGTATTTCTAGTCTGTTAAGTACTTTTCAGAATAATTTATGTATATGAATAGTAATGTGATATGATAGTTGCCAAGGCCTTTATTATAACCAGTTTTATAAAGTAGAATTACAATTTCTAGACTGAAGTTATGAGATACTTTTCTTTTCTGTAGTTAATCATTTGTGGAATTCCTCTTTCTTATCTCTTAAAAATGTCTGTTACTATGCCATCTTCATCTAGTGCTTTCCTACCTGTCAAATTTTGATGTGCAAATTTTATATTATCTGTTGTTACATCAGAAACAATAACTGATGAAGTCATTGTTGATGTTATTTCATTTTCAAAGCATATAGGTTTGCATAATACTCATTGGTTATCTTAATAGCTTGTCTTTACACTGGGTAACTTTTTTTTTTTTTAATTGCTGTTTCTCTATGGATTGTGCATTAAGCATATATCAAGTACTTCTCTTTTCTTTTAATGTCTCTTTTTTTTCTTTGTTGATTAATTATATTTTCAATTTAATCTGTTAGTATTTACAATCATTTCTTTTTATCAGTTCTAATGTTGACTGGAGGCATGTTAAAGTAGTAGTAGCTTGGATTGAGGAATTGGAGAGCCAGGTTTGAATTGCAGTCAGGTTTACATTCAGATACCCTTGGGAAAGGCAGGAATCCCTCTCTTCTCCCCCCAGCTCCATCCTGGCTATGACGATAAACTACATCTACGTCCAGGGTAAGACGATGAACTACGTCCAACAGCAAGACCTCTGATGTGGAAGTTTTGAGGAGCATGGAACCACCTCTTAATTGCTGGTGTTTCCAGGTCCACCCTGACCCGGGGTGGTAGCACCTGTTAGGGTTCCAGCTATGGGCAAATAGTTAAGAGGAAAAGAGTTTTTGAGGAAAAAAATATTAGCAGCAATATTTTTTTGAAAACAAAAAAAAAAAAAACAAATTATTACCAGCAATACATTTTTGAAGGAAAAATATTACCAGAAATAGATATTTTGACAAAACAAAATATTACCAGAAAAAAAAAATTGCCGGCATTAAATAAGCCATTGAGGTTGATATTCCGTAAAACGAACTAAACCAAACCAAACCAAATCCCCCCCAGATATAGATAAATAACAGGACAGACTGGGCCATATTTCCTTGGGGGTAACCAGTCTAGGAGGATGACAACACTGAATTCAAAACCTCCATCTTAACTCACAATTAGCCAAGTGTCATAAGATGGTCAATCAGAGAGTGTTCCTCCAATAGAAGTGAGAAGTCCTTGAATTTGGATTTGGAATGTTGACTTAGTTATAGCAATGTCATATATATATATATATATATATATAGTCCATCTGAAGTTATTGAGGCTTATGTGATTTGCCTAATAACTCAAATTTGCTTTGAACAGTTTTGTCCAATTTTAAACGATTTAGACATCAAACAAAACTGGAGTTAAATTTTCAGGTAGTTTCAACATGTTTTTATTAATGTTTGATTTATTATAAAAACTGCAGTTTGAAGTTATGCAAAACCAGAAAATCACTTTTTACTTCATTAACAAGGCAGTAAAATCATCAACAATTGATCAACACCTATAATAGAACAAATAACAAACATGTAAGTCTTTTCAAGCATTTACATATAGTGACCTTCCTTCTCAATAACAGCCAGAAATCTTATCCATTGATTTTGTTTAATCTTTTTACTTCAGTAGGTTCAATTGCTCCCCATAGGGTTGCTTTGTTGTCATATTCTTTGCCACCCTCATATAATTTTGTTTTCACAATTGACAATAAATTTTTGATTGGGTTTAGATCAGGACTTGATGATGGTTATTTTAGTATCTTCTCTCATGTAAACCTTTTTATATGCTCCAAAATTTTCAGGTAACCTTAGATACATGAGAAGAAGCTTTGTTGTACATAAATATGCACTTCACTTTGAAACTGTGAGGCTGATACTTGTGCCATTCAAAGAAAGTCTTGTCTATAAAATCCCAATAGTTAGCACTGTTCAGTTTAATTCTTTCATTGATTTTGAATGGTTTAGTTTGATTGATAATTCCAGCCCCTATGCTCACATTGCCATCTCCTTACTGACTTTTAGTTACAGGCACATCTGTATCAGATAGAATTTGTCTTTTGGTCCCTTTGAGTGTCACCCGAGATTTTTCTGTAAAAATTACTTTAAAGAAAAAAATCAATTTTCATGTATTTCTTGGCTCAATTTTTTTGATGATTTAAAATATTTGTTTTACCAAGAGGAGTTTACTTACAAGATTTCTTGATAGGTCCCAATTTGCAAAGTATTCTACACCTTTTTTTTTTTTTTGCCTTCTTGATTGCTTCAATTCTAGCCTGTTCAAATCTGAGCACTGGTCAAAAGTGGGGTTATTTTCACTGTAACTCACTTTACTATATATACCCCTCAAAGAGACATATTCTTAAATCCTTTTCCTTTGTTTCTAGTTCTCAATTTAGTTTTAATTTTCAACAACCCTCTTCATTGTTCAATGATCTCTGCAAAGTGCCTTTGGTATCTCCATGTGGAACAATCTATTAATTGTTGTTGTTCCCAGGTCTACTCTGACTCTGGGTGGTAGCACCTGTTGGGTGGTCTTAGCTATGGGCAAATATAGTAAAAATACCAACAATACATTTTTATAGTAAAAATACCAACAATACATTTTTATAGTAAAAATACCAACAATACATTTTATAGTAAAAATACGAGTAATACATTTTTATATTAAAAATACTAGCAATACATTTTATAGTAAAAATACCAGCAATAAAAAATACCAGTAATGCATGTTTATAGTAAAAATACGAGTAATACATTTTTATAGTAAAAATACCAACAATACATTTTTATAGTAAAAATACCAACAATACATTTTTATAGTAAAAATACCAACAATACATTTTTATAGTAAAAATACCAACAATACATTTTTACAGTGAAGTTAGCAGAAATACATTTCCATAAAAAAAAACAAATTATGACTAGCAATACATTTTTACAGCAAAATGGATAAATATGTCAAAATAAGTATAGAAAAACATTTTTATAGTAAAATGACCAACAATATATTTTATCATCTACAAACTATATATCTAAAAAACACACATTTGCCCAGAAAGTATAAAATTAAATACAAAATACTTATACTTGAAAGCATAAAATTTTGTTCAAAATATTTGTGGCTGAAACCATAAAATTACATACAAAACATTTAGATTTTGGAATTAAATAACCCATAGAAGTTGATATGCTGCTAAACAAAATCAACAAACCATTTGATATCTCCAATGTGAACATTCACTTGCTCAATAATTTTATTTTCAGTTTTTCAGCATTTGTTAGCCTCTTTAAATTATTCATGCTTCAACATATATTATGGAAAAAAAAATTTTTTTATTAGATTCTAGAGGCCTTAAACTAATATTTGTTTCATCTGTATAATAACTTCATACTGGTTTTTATAATAAACCCAATAACTTTAATAAAACTTGTTGAAACTACCTAAAAATTTAACTCAAGCTTATGTTTTAATGTCTAAATCAATTGTTTAAAAATTGACAAAAAAAAAATTGACAATTGAGCTGCTTAACCCTCATACATCAAAACCGTCAGGAGTCTGCACACACATAAGATTTTATTTTTTTTGTTTGTATTTCTTGTTATCTATATTTCCTATTGTCCATTTTTTTAATTTTCAGATTCCTTCTCTTGTACTGTCATGGAAGATGAATTGACATGTCCTGTGTGCTTGGAACTTTTTGCTGATCCATTGATGCTACCATGTTCACACAGCATCTGTAAAAAATGTCTGCAGGATATTTTACATTCTAATATCAAAATGGGAAGAGAAGGTTAGTTTTTATTTTTCCAAATCTGTCACACACTGTGTGACTTTGTATGCAATATATGTTAGTGTGTGTTGCACATGAGTGACTTACATGTGCTTGTGCAATTTAATGTATACACAAGAACACACACATGCACAATTTTGACTAATAAAACATTCTCACTCTGTCTGGACAGCCTCAACCCTGGGTTGAGCAATAAAATCCCAGTTGAAGGGGAACCAAACTTTTAAACCCTAACAAAAAAAAAAAAAATCAGATAATTACAAGATTTTGAGTTTTTCAGTAATAGAATTGTTATTGACAATAATTTTAATTTTGTAGACATATTTTTAGGTCAGTCATTGAATTAAAATCTACATAAACACACACAAATGTACATATACAGAGTGTGATGAATAAATTGTTGTCTAAATTACACAAAAATGAAAATAGCAATGACATTTTAACAGATGTATTAAAATAAAATCTAGACAAAAATTGAATAGATATGAAACATGTTTGGTTTTAATTTTTGTGTGATACTCTCAAGGTATTTCTTTGTTGCAATACATCATTAGATAGATATCATCCCCCCTATAAATAAGTCCAATTTGACCTGATTTTGTCCGTTTTGGAGTTGAATTCTGAACTAAATTATAAGACACAGCAGGCTTTCGGGCATGATTTTGGATGAAAAAAAAAAAAAACAAACAAAAAACCCTGCATTTTATGCACACAGGATTATGGTAATTTAGATTTGAAATTTGACTATCTCGCCATCAACAGGTACTGAACTAGTAGCCTTGTATCAAAAACAAAAGGTTTCTTTACTTTCAATGATCTTATAGTCCAGAAATACTTTATTATCCTTTGTTATTATGTAGGTGAGGAGGCATGGTGGAGTAGTGGATAGTGGCTCAGATTGAGGAATCAGTCGAGTTTGAATTCCAGTTGACTCCATTACATTCACTTACATGCTAATACCCGTGGGAAAGGTATTAATCCTCTTCTCCCTCCAACTATGGGTAAATAGCAAGACAGACTTGGTTCTATAGCCTTGGATGGCAACTGGTCTAGGAAAAGGACAACTCTGAATTCAAAACCTGGGACCTTGTGGCACATAGTGCACAAGGTCTCTGTATTTGGCCCTTCATAAAGTGTGGTTGGTTCTGCACAAAGCCTTCACCACTATAATCAAATCATATGTGCTGGTGTCTGGCTGTTGGTTCCTTGTACTATTGTGGTCATGTGATTACAGTTTGAATTTGATCATTCCAGCTTTCTTGCTGCTGTTACAGTGTAAACATGGCCACTTTGCTAGCAGTGTGCACCAAAGAGGAACAAAGAGCAGAGATCCAAATCTACAGCAAGTATGTTACCACATTGATGATAACTTGCTGGTTCAACATTACCACTCCCAAGCTTACTGAATGTTCTCATCAGTAGTGGAGGTTGACGGGTGTCCTGCTCCTTATTTATGTGTCACTCTTGTCCAGCCACTTTTAAACTATCTTGATCCACTCATATGCACTTCCACACTGCAATGCATTGTTGCTGTATTGTGTTAAAAGACACTGATGAATTTCAGACTCTGATACACCTTCCAGCCAGAGAAATCGAATCACTGCTCTTTGTTCCTCCTTGGTGCACACTGCTAGCAGAGTGGCTATGTTTACACTGTAACAGCAGCAAGAAAACTGGCAAGATCAAGCCCAAACTTTGATCACATTACAACAAAAGTATCAACTATAAGCACAAATGAGCAGAAGGCAGTGTGACAAAGCTAAATATATCTTATGGCAAAAGGGTGGATAACTTTTTACTTACCCTTGTACTTAAGAAAATTGTAAATTTTTTTTTTTTCTGAATTGGAAGTTCAGTATTAAATACAATATTTCCTCTAGGTTTTTTAAATTTAACAGTTATGATTATCAGGGTACTTATGAGGACACATGATTAATCAAAGATTTCTTGAAGTGATTGAATTTTTCCAGAAACGAAAATTTAAATTAAAAATCTGAAACTAATTAACTCTCAAGAGAATTTTCTTTTTAATTACTCTCAGGAAATTGGATGGAATTTTTTTCCTTTTTTTTTCTTTTTTTATTAATAATTCCATAAGCATTCCTGTCCATTATGAGACTGTTAATTACAAGAGAAAATGTCTTGCCTGTTTTGCATATGGCAATCAATGATTATCAAACTCAAATCTTTATGAAAAAGCAATTATAACTCCTTTTGCTACAAAATTAACATTTTCATTTAGTTATTAATTTGGAAGCAAATACTTGAGCAAAAATACTCCACTTTGATATTGTCAAGTTGTTACTATACACATTTGTCCAGAACTAATCAGATATATACAGGTGACCTTTTCATTTTATTTATTAAATCTTGCATATAGGAATTATGACATTGGAATTGGTAAGCCAAGTTCAAATTTTATCCTAGCCTATAGTTTGCTTTTGCAAGAATGGTTTTGAGAAAGCATGAACATATATCTTCTCCCTTCTGCTTATGAGTTAAATAGCAAAATAGACTGGGCCCTGTAGCCTTGAGTGGTAATCAGTCTGAGAAGGGAAACTTAATTCCAAACCATGATGAAGGCAACAGGAAATGGCACCATCTTTTCCAAGAATGTATGGAAATTCTCAGATGATAATAGAATATGTAGGGAAATTGCCTGCATCCTGAGAGAAACATGTCATTAACAAAAAATTAAAAAAAATAGGTTCTGTAGCCTTGAGTGGTAATCAATTGAAGAGAAGAAAATCTCCAAATTCCAAGCCATGGAGAAGGTAGTAGGAAACATTTATCTTTTCCAAGAATGCATGGAAATTCCCAGATAATAATAGAATCTGCAGAAAGCCATGATTGCCTACATCCTGAAGGAAATATGGCTTTAAAAAAATAAGTAAATAAATATATTAGATGAAATGTAAAAACTCTTCTGCAATTTTCTTTTGCAGGTATTCAATGTCCAGCTTGTCGTAAAAGTTTAGTAATAACAAAAGAGAAGATCTGCAAGTTACCACGGAACTTGGCTCTTGAGAATATTGTTATTCGCTTTCAGGAAATCCAGAGCAACACTTTGACCAAAACAAAGTCTCTTGACCTTTCTTCAGATGTGCAATTCTCTTTGAATCAAAGTGACTCTGACATTCCTGTTTTTGTTGAGGAAACAGATGAACTGTGTGAATTATGTGAGGGAAAGTTCTGTGCCCGGGCAGAATGGTTTTGTGAACAGTGTGCAGTGCTCTACTGCAATGAATGCCTTGAGAAGTTTCACCCACGTCGAGGCTCTCTCAGCCAGCATCGGCTCCGAAAGCCACATAAAAGTGAATCTGAAAACAAACCAGCTTTTTGCAGTGACCACAACTCTGAAGTGGCCAGTGTATTCTGTGATCAGTGTAAGTTGTTAGTTTGCCATTTGTGTGTCTGTGATGGAATTGGTAAACATTCAGGACACAAGATTCTCTCTCAAGATGTTGCTTCACAGCAAATTAAGGTAAGTTGAAATTTATTTATGTTTTACACACTTTAGATCACTTTGACAAACCCATACTATTAGATTGGTTTAAAACTGGGGCGGTCAGTTGCTAAAACAAAGGGAGATAATTGGTGTCCAACAACAAGTTTGATGAAATATGGAATTGGATCGGATATCCAAGAAGTCCTCATAGATATGCTTGGAAAGGTCAAAACAAATAATAAAGTATTTTAAAATTTATTTAGTTGGACGAATGAACAGTGTATTTTCAAGTGTCAATAAAATCAGATTTTTCCTCCTCTTACACACACTAACACTTTGGAGATTGTTGTCCAAATGGCTAGCATAGCAGAAGGGGTTATGGAAAATGATCCTAATACTTCAGTAAAGATTATAGCAAAAAGATCTGTGCTTCCTAAATGCCATTAAACTATTTTAAAAATTTATTGAGTAAAAATCTGAAATTCATACTGTGGCTCTTCCCAAGATCACAGAGTGAAGACAAAAATTTTTACTACGCTTAGAAGGCTAAAGAACTATTTAACTCATAGCTTGTTTGAATGAACACTATCTTAATTTTGTCAGTAAAATAAGAAATTTCTTCTACCTAGACTGCTTTAGAGGTGAAGGATGTTCAACTTCCAAAACAAATGGCGATAACCCATACGTGACAGGTTCCAAGCCATCATTCTTCCTCTACATGTGGAGGACATGTTGTCGGCTATTTGCTGGTTACAACAAGAGAACTTTTAAAACATGTAGCCAATTGTGACAAGTTTAATGAATCACTGAATTGGACCAGATTGGCTAGATGTCCTCATTGATATTCTTGAAAATGTTAAAACAAACTTGACAAAATCACATTTTTAAAATTAATGTAGTAAGATGAATGAACAATATCTTTTGAACAGTCAATAAAATAAGATATTACTTCTCCCTTCTTCTGTGTCATGTCCCTTCAGGATATAGTCGATTATGGCTCTCTGCAACTTCCTATCTTGTGTGACTCTTAAGTTTCTTTTTCTTCCAAAACTCCTGCCCTAGTTCTGACATTCTTTCACACAAGCTCATCAAGTATAAGTGGCTTGCTGCCTTCCCTTATCTCTCTTGCTATCAATATGCTCTGAGAGTTTTCCAAGCCTACTTTCCTCATCTTTTGTTCCAGTGATTTCAGCTGTCTTTTCCTGATTCTGAGTATAAGTATTCTTTCTATTACCATTTTCTTTAAGATGTCCTTGTTGCTTACTCGCTCTGTCTATAGAATTTTCAATATCCATCCGCAGAGCTACAGTTCTGCTACCTTGAGTTTTTTCTTCATCCATGGGGATTGTCCATCATTCACTGCCATATAAAATGAGGGATACCACATGGCAAATGGACTGCTTTAAGATTTAGGGGTTTTGATGTTTGTTTCATACAACTGTGATGACGTTACCCTACCCAACAAATCATTTCAAACCACATCAGGAATACAAGGAGAAAGCAAGAGTTTCAATCTGTTTGATATCTTTTTTTGTAGTTTGATTGAAAGGGAGAAGAAAAATAGAATGTTGCTTACCTTGTAGTGGGGGAGAAGCAGCAGCAATAGGTGATTTCTTTTATAGTGGGACATTATGGTCAACCGGGGTTGGGGGAACAAATTATGGGAAGGAAGAAAGAAACTATAAAACTCCACCAAAACAAAATCCCCAACTCTATTTTTGGCTAACTTGACAAAGCAACAGGCTAATCGGAGAAGAAAAAAAAAAAAGTGGATGTACAGGAAAGGTTGTAAGAGATGCAGAGGAAGGTGATAAGGAAGGATGAGAGAGATCCTGGGAGAAGCAGAGGAGATTCAAACTACCAAGCCCCACTTACTATATCTTACTTATGTATTACTTATATTGATACACTCACTCTTGGCTTTTGTTTTTTATTTTAAGCATTCAAACCACATGCTGACATGTAGCAATTGTATTCCTTTAGCGAACTCATGATAAGTAAAATTGGTTTGAAACTTTTCATTTCCTTTTGCCTGCATTGATTTTTTTCATTATAATGTTTTTAGAAAAAAGTGTTAACACAGAATAATCTGAATAAAGACAGAATAAAAATAGTCTGACAAAATGAAGAATAATAATTCATAGAAAACTAATCTCAGTTTGAAGGTTAACTATTTGCCCATAGCTGGGACCCTAACAGATGCTACCACCCTTGGTCAGGGTGGACCTGGGAACATCAGCAATTAAGAGGTGGTTCCACACTCTTCAAAACTTCCTGATCTGAGGCATTGCTGTTGGACGTAGTTTATCGTCTTACCCAGGACAGGCTGGGGTGGGGGGTGTTGAAGCAGTGACAGGCGATTGCTTTTATAGAGAGACATTACAGGCAAACCTTTTGGTGGTTGGGGGTGAATTATGGGAAGGAAGAAATAAACTATAAAACTCAACTGAAAATAGGAGTCTGGGATTTTTTTCATTTTAGCAAACTTGACAAAGCATCGTGTTAGTCGGACATATGAGAAAGGTTGTAATGCAGAGGAAGGTGATGACTTGAGGATAAAGAAGGATGAGAGAGATCCTAGGAGAAGCAGAGGAGATTCAAACTACCAAGCTTCGTTTACTTTGCATTGATACACTCACTCTCAGCTTTTTTTCCTCCTATTTTAAGCTTTCAAACTTCAGCTTTATACACGAAAAAAACAAAGATCTAAAGAAATAGGTATAGAACACTTAAACCTTTCATATCACATCCTAAACAAATCTACCTATAGAAAACAGCCTTCTTGTTTCCCCTTCAGATGACATAGGTGTAAATAGATGGTATAAGAATGATCTTGTACAAAATGAATATAAAAATTCTTTACCAAGTGTTCCAAGAAATAAAACTCAAAATAAACTTTTGATCATATGGAAAGAGAAGAGACACTACTTGGTTTCATTGAGAAAATGAAAAAAAAAAAGAAGGAAAGATAGACATATTCAGTGGCTGTTTCAGTGTAATGGCATAAGTCGTCAATTTCAAATCTTTTCATTTCTACCTGCTTCTTAAAAATGACCAGCATTATTGTTATTGCAATATTTTGTTAAAGTTGTTAAGCTCAAATGTCTAATGATGTGATAGAGGGATTTATACAGATATTTTATTGTAGCAGCCACCATGAGCTGGCTCAGTCATCAATTTAAGAATTAAGATTCATCAGAAAATTCAAATAGAAAAACCATGAAATTTTCATGGGTTAAAGCTAGTAAAAAAAGATTGTTATAACTCATGGAACTTGAGTTAAATATGTTGTTGTTGTTGTTGTTGTTGAAATAAAACTTACGTTTTTGTTTATTTGTTTATTCATCTGCGCACATACATAGGTACATCAAGACGTCTGCAGCTTAATAATGAAAATAAAAAACCCTTATTTGACATAAATATTTTTATATCCATTGTCAATGCACTCCTGTCAGCTGTGAATATTGATCCTATAATACATTAGAAATGTTTAGATCAAAATACAATCACTAACTCTTTATTAGGCTACTCTTGGGTCTTGAATAAAAGTTGGAATTGGAATAAGCAGGGGAGTTGGAAATGTTTTTTCAAAATTTAAAGTGGGGAGAGTTGAAATAATCTGAGGAGGGGTTAGGACTAGTCAAGCTACTAACCCACATGGCCTGAATATTATGTTCAAGCATGAAACAGATGGTCACCATTTGGTGTTGATCTGTGTCCACACTGCTTGTGTCTTTCTCTCTCCTATAATATATATATATATATATAAATTTACCATTTACTTGTGCATTGAATGGATTTTTCAGTGTGCCAATGTTGTTATCAAATGTAACAAATGCTTAGTTTAAAGGGAGTTTAACTCCAATACCATGGAAAAATTGCTCAAGCCCCATTGGCTCTTCCCTTTTTGGGGACACCGCATACCTCAGGTTCCAAATGAGGACCTTAGTCCCTTTCTGGAGGAGGGAGAATGATTGGAATGATGCCCCCCCCCCTCTATGACTTGAGTTAAGATTATTTTGAAACTTTTTCTGGCAAAAGTACCAGAATCTTACTGCCACATCTGGTCTGCTGTTTTTTTTTTTCACAAAATCTAAAGAATTTGCAATGTTATCAGTCCTTACCTGGAATCACTTCCTGCTGTTGTCATGAGCTTCCATGTGCCTTTTCTATAAATATTTTCATGGCAATTGTTCTGATTGGTTTTGACTTCACAAATTTATGTATGGTACTAGATTGGCAGTTAGGTGTCCTCATTTTACTGTTGGAATTGTGAGATTTAACTATTGTAATAGCTTCTTCTCTTGCACTTTTCATCTATGGAACTTTCTTCCACCGTTTTCTTTCCTGTCAATTATGTTCCTCAAAAATTTTAATGAAATGTCAATTGTCATCTGTCTTTTTAAATGCTGTCCTTCTGTTGTCTTTTCTCAAAGTTTTCTCAGTTTCTTTCACTGTCACATCTTAGTGGTTTTATTACCTTGCTTGGTGGTGAAATTATATACATACATAACCTCTATGCCTGATATTGAGTGCTTTTACTCATAAATATAGACTACCTTAAATCTATGTTTTTATTATATGCAGGGTGCGATGGGTGAATTGTCACCATTTTAAATTTTTAATTTCTGCACAGTATAGTAGGGTTAGTTTAGCACCATCTGTGAGAAAAAGAGCACCATAATGCAATTCACTCCACCAAAAATTTGGAAATGACATACTGTACTGCTTGGCATTCATAATGGAAGATCCAATACAAACATTCAGAGTGTTTGGGTGTCAAGCTGAGGAAGTGCAGAGGAGTTGGAAAGAGTTGGATGAGTCTAATGGTGATTATGATGGTACGACAGCTTGGAAAACTCACTCTGATCGTTCTAATAAGAATTCCTGAATTTGTTGGTGAGGGTCTCACTCAATATGGAGGCCTACATCAAATGCCTTGAGGAGGTAGTACTACACTGGGTTAAGAATGTGGCTACTGGAAGGCCCTATGTCTGGCAACATAACTCTGTACCACAAATTGGAGAACCCAGTCA